TCCAAAGGATGGGACAGGATCTGGAGTCAAATGTAGGAGGGTCTACCCATCCCTGGAGTTCAGTTTACAAAACTGCCCTTCTGCTCTGTATTCCTCTCCAGCTGCCACCAGCATAATTCTCTCTTCCTTTTAAAATCACATTTCTCAAAAGAATTGTCTACATATACTGTATCTCTCTCTCTTTTTTTAACTCCTTCTAATCAAGTTTTTGCCCATCCCACTACATGGAAACTGCTTTTTTCCAGTGTCACCAAGGACTTCTGGGTTACTAATCCAATAGTAACATTTTAGTCCTCATTTTAACTAGACACACAACAGATCTACTCTCTTTCTTGGCTTCCATGACACTACCCTGTGCTGTCTTTCCTCGTGCCACGCTAATTGCTCCTTCTGTTTCCTTTGCCAGCTTATTTTTTCTCTGCCTGGCTTTGAAATATTGACCTTCCTCAAATCTTGGACACAGGCCCTCTTCTGGTATTACTTTTAAGCCAGGGCTTGGCAAACTACCGCCCACTGACTAGGCCCATAAGCTTTCTACATTTTGTACATGTACATTTTTACATGGTTTTACATTTTTAAATGGTTAAAAAATCAAAAGCATATTTCACAACGTGAAAATTATATGAAATTCAAATCCCATATCCATAAATAAAGCTTTATTGGAACAGCCAGATCCATTTGTTTACTATTGTCTGTTGGAGCCCTGGTGGCATAGTGGTTAAGAGTTCATCTGCTAACCAAAAGGTTGGCAGTTCGAATCCACTAGCCACTCCTTGGAAACCCTAGGGGGCAATTCTATTCTGTCCTATAATCGACTCGACGGCAACAGGTTTAGTTTTTTTGGTTTTGGTGATTGCTTTCACACTACAATGCCAGAATTGAGTAGTTGCAACAGAGATCTGTAGCCCACAAAGCCTAAAGTATTTACCTACTGGCCCTTTACAGGAAAAGTTTGTCAACCCTTGCTTTATGCTGTCTCCCTAGGTACCATTCATTCTCGTGGCTTTTATATACGTACATATATGAATATATATGTGTGTGTGTATATACGTATATGCATATGTATTTATACACACACATATATATATTCACAAAGGAACATCTTGAGTTGAGATCTCTTCTATAAGACAAGATGTGAATATCCAGCCTATCCACTTTGATGACTTATCAAGATCTCAAAATGATCATACCCAACAACTCCTGCCTTAGTCTACCCCATCTCAGTGTTGTTATTGTTGTGTGCCATCGAGTTGATTCTGACTCATGACTCATAGCAACCCTACAGGACAGAGTAGAACTGCCCCATAGGGTTTTCTAGGCTGATCACCAGGTCTTTTCTCGGGCAGAGGCACTGATGGGTTTGAACCTCCAACCTTTTGGTTAGCATCGGAGCCCTTAACCATTGTGCTGCCAGGGCTCCTTTCCATCTCAGTAAATGGCATCAATATCCATCCACTTATCAAGTGAGAAATCTAGTAATCCTTGACATCTCCCTTTCCTGCAACCTTCTTGTCCAATCTATTACAAAACCCTTTAAAACAAAACCTAATTCCCAAATGGTGCAGCCACTGTGGAAAACAGTTGGGCGGTTCCTCAAAAGGTTGAACATAGAATTACCATATGATCCAGCAATCCCAGCCCTAGGCAAATACCCAGAAGCCAAGGCAGGAACCCAAATAGAAATTTGTACACCAATGTTCACTGCAGCACTTTTCATAATAGCCAAAAGGTGGAAACAACCTAAATGTCCATCAACAGATGAATGGATAAACAAAATGTGGCCTATACATACAATGGAATATTATGCAGCCATGAACAGAAATGCAGTTCTGATATATGCCACAACATGGATGAACCTTGAAAACATTATGCTAAATGAAATATGTCGGCCGCAAAAGGATCTCACTTATATGAAATAAGCAAATACTGTATATAGAAACCAAAGATTATTAACAGTTACCAGGGGTAGGAGGTAGAGGGAAAGAGTTTTCTTTTCTGGGGGGGAGGGAGGGGGGCACTGAGTTTATGTTAATGGTGGTCTAATATTTTGGAAAAGGATAGTGATAATGGTGGCACAATATGAAAAATGTAATCAGTGTAACTGAATTGTAAATGTGGAAGCTGTGTTGGTGAATGTTTTGGTGTACATATTTTAACCACGATATTAAAAAAAAAAAAATTCCATTACTCGTTGCCACCTATATCGCCTTCGACCCCTTCCCAACGCACACATCTCTCTTGGAATACTGTTACACACTCTGAAACTTGTCTTTTAAAAACGTAAATAAAACCATGCTACTCCCCTCTGTTGTGCCCTGAATCCCTCAACTTCTACCGAAACCTTGCACACCTATCAACCCCGCAGGATTCGCCCACCCAGCCTTTCCCTAAAGGACTTCAGAGATCAGAGAGCTAAACGGGCTGGGGGCTCATGAAGCAGAAGCACCCTCCCAGCCTCTGGGGCATTCGGCGCTGCCGCTGAAACATCAGTGACGTCGTAGTTGGAGCCGTTCTAACAGCGCCCGGAATATACGTAAACGGGGCGGGCCTTTGTTTTACAAACCGGACCGTGAAGCTTTGCGTTTTCTCTTTCCAGCCAGCGCTGAGGGATGGGTGAGTCTCGCTCTGTGTTGCAGCCATGCTAGGGGGTTGAGTTCAATCCAGCGCCATCCTGACTGGCAGCCAAGTTAGGAGTGCGGGCGCCCCGGTCCCCGGCAACGAATAGCGATGCGGAGGGGTGGTCCGCGGGTTTTCACAGGCGCGGTCCGCTCCGGGGACCGCAAGGGCGCTGGGTTGCCTGCTGCACCAACATGGCTGCCGCGGGAAGGGAGGTCTGGGCTGGGCCGCACGGCATGATGACATCTCGGTAATGCTGCAAATCCCCGAGTGCGCAGTGGGGAAGCCAACCTTGGAGAGCTGAGCCTGCGGTCCGCCCGGCGTGTGGGCTCTTGGAGCTGGCGACGCACCGGCCCCGAGTCCCAATGCCTCAAGCTTCTGCTCTTGCCTTCACAAACAGGCATCTCCCGGGACAACTGGCACAAGCGCCGCAAGACCGGGGGCAAGAGAAAGCCCTACCACAAGAAGCGGAAGTATGAGCTGGGACGCCCGGCTGCCAACACTAAGGTGCGTGCGTGGTCGGTTCTTTTCAGCGTGTGCGTGTTGCGGATTCTTTGTAGTTTCTGTAATTTCTCTTAATGGTTGGCACTGGGCAGGTTCCACATCTTTACGTGTTGAGTAAATAGTAAAAAGCTTGCATGGCCTCTGTTCTCTCCCACCCCTAGCTTAGTTTCTAATAATGGGATTAGGTGCTATGTACCACTAGTTGAAGGGTCCCGGGAAGGAGTGGCCTCCTCTCGTGTTAGTCAGTTGTTGCATGGAAACATAATGTTTACTGTTTAGAGTCAGATTTTCTCTCTTGGAGGTAACTAGAGTGATGAAAAAGTATCCTTAGGTGTGGTTGTGACTGTCTTGGTCACTTGTGTGCCACTTGCCAATGTTAGGGCTTGTCATAGTTACACTGACTATGTTGCCTCCATCCAGCCCAGGTTCCCTCTCTCTCTTCTGTTCCTCTCCTTGATAACCTAGTTCCTGTCTCTTGTGTTTCCCAGATCGGTCCCCGCCGCATACACACTGTTCGTGTGAGAGGAGGCAACAAGAAGTACCGGGCCCTGAGGCTGGATGTGGGGAACTTCTCTTGGGGCTCTGAGTGTGAGTAAGGCTCTTCAGAAGTGGGTGGGAATTGGCACCTAAACCTTTCTAAGCCTCAGTGAGTGTTAGTAGGAATTCCTGGCCCAGACCAAAGTACCTGAGGACACTGCTTGCTGAAAGACCTTGAGATGGCTGGAGAGGTCTCCCCACCCTGACCAGTCTCTAAGCTCTTAACTCCTGCAGCCTCAGTGATTGTGGCTAAATTTAGAGACTGTGTGGTTGCCAGCCACCCCTGGTGAGAGATGGGTGTGTGAAAGACAAGCTGATGCCCATGGCTGGGGAGAGGCTGAGAGTTCTCTTGCTGCTTTTCCTCGGGAGAGCCACCTCCTTAGGCCCTATTAGGGCAGAAGAGCCTGGAGTTGGGGGTGAGACCATTTGGCCTCTGGTTTACACAGTTTAATTCTGGATTTTTTCTGTGAGCAGGTTGTACTCGAAAAACGAGGATCATTGATGTTGTGTACAATGCATCCAATAATGAGCTGGTCCGCACCAAGACCCTGGTGAAGAACTGCATCGTACTCGTTGACAGCACACCATACCGGCAGTGGTACGAGTCCCACTATGCGCTGCCCCTGGGCCGCAAGAAGGGAGCCAAACTGGTGAGTGAGTGGGCAGCCAGCTCCCCTTTAGGGACAGTGGGGAGGGCAGCCAGGCTCCAGCCTTCTTGTGATGAAAACTCTGTCCAGTTCTGCTACTGAAGGGAGAGAGATGAAAGCCTTTAGTGCTGAGGAAGGCTGGGGTTGGGGTGCTCAAGAGTTTGAGAAGGCTGGCTGTGGTGACCTTTCTTTCTCGAGCTAGGGTTTGGGGCCCCAGCTAACCACCCATCTGTACCCCTCCTGTTCAGACTCCTGAGGAGGAAGAGATTTTAAACAAAAAGCGATCGAAGAAAATTCAGAAAAAATATGATGAAAGGAAAAAGAATGCAAAAATCAGCAGTCTTCTGGAGGAGCAGTTCCAGCAGGGCAAGCTTCTTGGTGAGATGGCTGTTGCATGTAGGGGGAGGGGTGTCACATAGTTGTAGTGTGATTGCCAGCCATGTGATCTAGGGTTCACTAGGAGAGTTGAATGGGTAAGGTGACCATACCATTTACTATACTGAAACTTCTGAAATTGAAAGGGATACTATTAATGATACCAGGATTCAAACACAAAGCAGGGTGTTCGGTCACCCCATTAGTGAGAAGCTAAAATGAAAAATGTTGGGCAGGAGTCCATAGGGTTGTGCTTGGTGCATGTTCTCTGCCTCTGGGTTTCATAATTTTGGGAAGTCCATGCCCAGGCTGAGGGAGCCGTCTCAATGATGAAAACTTTGTCCAGTTCTGCTACTGACTTGACTTGATGATAAAGCATTATCTGAGGAGACAGTGGGCTTTATGCTTGCCCTCAAGGTACCTGAGCCAACGTGGACTTTTAAGGGGATAGGTTTGGGTGAGGCCACTTTATCATTTTGCTAAGGACCATGTCCTCTCTTACAGCGTGTATCGCTTCAAGGCCAGGCCAGTGTGGCCGAGCAGATGGCTATGTGCTAGAGGGCAAGGAGCTGGAGTTCTATCTGAGGAAAATCAAGGCCCGGAAAGGCAAATAAATCCTCTGCTCTCCCATCTTAGCACATGTATTAAAGGTGTTTATTCTATATCTTGTGTTTATGTTGTCTGAGTATTTGACTTAATTTCTCAATTTGGTTCCCTGTGCTGAACAAAATAGATGTAGTGATGGCTGGAACTAGACCCCCACCCCTACTTCAGCACTGTAGAGTGCTTCATTGGCCCCAATGCCCTCTCTGTGAAGGCCAGGCTTATTTTGTGGGCTCTGCCTTTCTGAAGTTGGGAGAACATTTCTCACCCTGAAGGCTTGTTTCAGTGGGAATATAGGGATGCAGGCCCAGCAGAGGCTGTATGAGGGAGGTATCCCAGCATTGGGGCCCCTCCCAATATTGGACCGTAACTGGAGGCTCAGGTCATATTGCTTCCATGAAAATGGTTCTAAGGATTCAGTTAAACCTTGAAATTGTATTCTGATTTGTGTTTTGCATTGTCGTGAGCAGATTACAGGTAATATTTACATACCAGGATCCTGTCAGTTTTGAAAGTCTTTAAAGTTATTTGGAGATTTACATATCCTTTCATTTTTCGTTTGAACTCTAATCCTTTTTTCCCTCACCACCTAAAATTAAAAGTACTCAAGATTACCAGTGACTTCTGCATTGTAAAATCTTCAATAAATTCTTTGTCCATTTACCCTACCAGCATTTAAATGTTGCGTATGCATCTACTTTGATGTCATAAACCCACTGTCTAATAGTCGATTACATAGGACAGAGCAGAACCTGCCCTGTAGGGTTTCCAAGGAGAGGCTGGTGGATTTGAACTGCCAACCTTTTGGTTAGTAGCCAAGTCTCTTAACTACTTCGCCACCAGGGCTTCTGATGTCATAACAATTGATCTTTCTCTGGATTCCCTCTCACCCAACGTTCCTGTTTTCCCCCAATTGTAGCAAATAACTACTACAGTTGCTTAAATCAAAATCTTGGGTGAGCCGCCACTCCCTCATTCTTGCACTTCACACTAAATGTGTCGCCAGATCTTGTTGGCCCAGCCTTCAGAATACATTCTCACTCCCATCACTTGTCAACGCCACCTCTACCATCTGATCACTTCTTTGCCTAGATTGTTAACAATAGCATTAAAGATTAGGTTATGACACAACAGCTTCCCATCATAAAAATTCTTACAAAATTATATGAAGCGAAACATGATCTAGCCTTACTGAACACAGGCTGATTCGTAATTCCCTTTTTTGGGATCTCTTCCAAATAGCCATGTAACTCCAGGTCTTTAGTCTTTCCCTGATCACCACATTTTTAATTGTACTCTTCCCAACACCATCCTTCCCCTTTTTTTCCTCCTCCTTGAACCTGATGTAAATTTTGCTCATTTTATTTGCTTGTTGATCTTTCTCTCCTCCCTATTAGAATGACTCTGGGAGAGCAGGCATTTGTTCCTTGCCGTTGATTCTGACTCAGCAACGCTATAGGTTGTAGTAGAACTGCCCCCATAGGGTTTCCTAGGCTATAATGCTTACAGGAGCAGATCTCCAGGTCTTTTCTTCTACGGAGCCACTGGTGGGTTCAAACTGCCAACCTTTTGGTTAGCGGCCAAGTGTTTAACCATTGCACCACCAGGGCTCCTTTGACAGTGTACTAGGCACTCAAGTTTGTGCTAACTTTTTTTTTAAATTTTTTTATTGTACTTTAGATGAAGGTTTACAGAACAGTTTCTCATTAAACAGTCAGTACACATACTGTTTTATGATATTGGTTAACAACCCCACAACATGTCAACACTCCCTCCTTGACTTTGAAGGACCTTTTTTTTTGGTGAAAATATACACAGCCAAAGTTACACCATTTCAAAAGTTTCTACATGTACAATTCAGTGACATCAATTACATTCTTCCAGTTGTGCTGCTATTCTCACTATCCTTTTCCAAATTATTCCATCACCATTATCTTCAACTCTGCCCACTAGGCTTCCCATCAAACCTTTTGAGTTGCTGTTGTCAATTTGATCTCAAATCAATAATGCTTTTTTTTTTATACCTTAGATGAAGGTTTACAGAACAAACAGTTTCTCATTAAATAGTACACATATTGCCCTATGACGATGGTTAACCCCACGACATGTCAACACTGTCCCTTCTCAACCTTAGGTTCCCAATCACCAGCTTTTTTGTCCTCTCCTGCCTCATTAGTCCCGTTTTGTTTTATGGGGCTGTCCAATATCCGTCTGGACGGTGAACCTCGGGAGTGACTTCACCACTGAGTTAAAAGGGTGGCCGGGGCCATACTCGGGGCTTATCCAGTCTGTCAGGCCAGTAAATCTGGTATTTTTTTGTGAGTTAGAATTTTACAGCTCTGTCCAGGACCCTCTGTTGTGATCCTGGTCAGAGCAGTCGGTGGTAGCCGGGTACCATCTAGCTGTTGTGCTAACTTAATTTTTAAAAGCTTGAGATAAAATTTAAAGTTGATGGAAAATCTAAGTACATATGAGCCAAAGAAGTACAAAATCCATTTGGGTGACCAAAGTTGCAGACTTCTGTAGGAAAGTTGAACTAGGAGATCACCTTTTTCCAAGCACAAAATTTCCCAGCCCTGTAAAACCTTAACTTTGACTCTGAAGAGGCCTGGCCCCCACCTGCCCACCCAGTGTTGATCTTTGTCCACCTTAATATTAGCTAACATTTACTGAGAGCCATATGTTGGCTGCTAACTGAAAGGTCGGTGGTTCAAACCTGCCACTGGCTCCATGGGAGAAAAGACTTGGCAATCAGCTTCAGTAAAGGTTACAGCCTAGGAGACCCTATGGGGCAGTTCTCTTCTGTCCTATAGGTTTTTTGGGAGTCAAAATTAACACAGTGGCACACATGTCAGACAGACACAGCAAAGCAACACTCTGCATTTTGCCTTTACTGTCTAATTTGAGCTCTGTTGTTAGGTACTATTAAGTTGGTTCTGACTCATAGTGACCCTATGTACAACAGATTGAAACACTGCCCAATCCTTCACGATCCTCACAATAGTTATGCTTGAGCCCATAGTTGCAGCCACTGTGTCAGTCCATCTCATTAAGGGTCTTCCTCTTTTTTGCTGACCCTCTACCAAGCACGATGTTCTTCTCTAGGGACTGGTGCCTCCTGATAACGTCCAAACTTTGTGAGACATAGTTTTGCCGTCCTCGCTTCTAAGGAGCATTCTGGCTGTACTTCTTCCAAGACAGATTTGTTTGTCTCGCAGTCCATGGTATATTCAATATTCTTCGCCAACACCATAACTCTATAAAGCATCTTTATTCCTCTTTCCTTACCTCTACCTCTAATCCATCGAGACCAGTGGGTTCTTCTCTAAAGAGCCAGCCACTCCATCTCCACTGCCCCTACCTTTTGTTCAAGTTACCTCCTCTTCCCTAGACAAGCATTGGCCTGCTTGATCTTACTTCTTTGTCTCTGGCCCTCTACTTTCCATATGAGTCTTTAAACCAGATTCTGTCACTTCTCTGCTTAAAACCCATTAGTAGCTGTTATGCTTATAATAAAATAAGTACTACTTTACTATGATCTTGCAGGCCTTCACAGATGTTCATTCTCTCCCTAGAGCAAGGCTATCCTTGTAAACTCAGCAAAAAACCTCAAATACCTTTTGAATGAATGGTTGAATGGTTCTCTTTGTAGATGTGGAAACAGGCTTAGAAGATGATCAGTATCTCATGATCACCCAGCTAGAATGTGGCAAAGCCAGGATTAGAACCCAATTAATCGACACTGCTAGAGGCTGCACTCTTAAACCTCTACTCTAGTGCATACCCTCCTTTATCTTTCTTTGGGTTCTGGCGCTTGTCGTCCTTTGACCTTAAGGTTCAGTTCTGGCATTCAACAGTCCTTTCAGATGGAAGCTGAGCTTAGAAGGCAAGAATCTTGGTGGAACCGAGTAACCAATCTAGTGTTCTGTGGGGCTGTCTCCACAAGGGCCCTTCTCTTACTCTGAGAGCTGAGTGCTCCCAGCACTGCAGGCTCCCCATGGAGATGGACCTGCAGCCTCCACCCCTTAAGCTATCTTTTCTTTCCCTTTTGGTTGGTGGGAGCAGAGAAGGGCTTGGCATCCTGAAGTCCAAATGCTGAAGGTTGAGGGTGGGTGCCTTGGACTTTCAGCATCTTCACATCTCGGTTTGATCACCCTCCAGAGCAGATTCCCCAACCCTTGCTTCCTCTTCATCTTACTGTATGTGTGCCAGTTCACTTTTAAACATAATTGTACACATAGTGAATATATTCTCATTGTGAAAAAAAAATTGAACATTACAGATAAAGCAGAAGTCCCCCAACACACACACTTAGACCATCAGTTCCCTCATCAGAAGTAGCTACTGTTAGCAGGATAAGGTATATCCTTCCAAATATTTTTATGTACGATTCTCAAACTGTGGTCCTCAGACCAGCAGCATCAGCGTCACTGGGGAACTTGTTAGAAATGCAAATTCTTTAGCTCCACCTCAGATCTAGTAAATCAGAAACACTGGGAGTGGTGCCCAACACTCTTTTAACAAGACCTCCCTGTGATGCTGATGCTCGGTCAAGTTTGAAAACAACTGGCCTAAGACTTCACCAGCTCCCCACTGCCCAGGAAATTAAATTGCACCTGGACACTGGTCTTCTTATGCCTGGCCTCATTTATCCTTCTAGCTTCACCTCCCCTAAGCAGCCCATTCTACCTTCACTCCCACCAAGGTAGGTGGACATACTCCCAGCCCTGGCTCAGGCTCTTCCCGCCACCTTCGTCTTTCAAAGTCTGCTCAGAGCACACGGAAACG